CATGTCTAATGGTAAAACAAATCTTAACGCCTAAGCACAATTTTGCAACTTTGACATGTGTTGGCAAAACCGAACATATCATCACAACTACTTAGTGCATCCAGGTGGATTATACCTTGTTTTTGTCAGGACAAATTGGGCTTTCATTTGTTGGTAAATGGTGATGGATATCTCCTGTTTTTTTTTTTTTATTACAAAAGGAAAACTGGCCCAAATAGTTTAAAAAAAAAAATCCTTTTTTTAAATTTAGCTGTATTTTTCTTGGTACTACCATAATCTATCACCAAAGAACAACCCAAAATAATTTCTCCTGCTCCTGACGATCGCAACGATACCACATGTGTGTATGTTAGTTGTTGTTGTTTGTACCCATAGTACAGCCCAGAATCCATAGTGCGCAATTTGTTTTTTCTGCCACTACCTGACAGTGATACTAATTTAAAAATGAAACAAAAACCCTGGAAAAGTTCTGTGAGGCCGCTAATTTGTGTACGGTCAGCGTCAAGGGGTTAAGCTACATGTTCATTAATATACATGAAAAACTTGGGAGGGAAATCAGTAACAGACAGTATATAACAAGCAAATTTGGAACCCTATGGGATATAGCACCTTTGCCTTTTATTTAGGGAAAGTTTCAAGAGCACATTGGATAAACTCACAATTAAAGCAGAAAACAATTAAAAAGGGATGTTCTGCCCACCTTTATGTTATTATTCTGTTTTATTGAACTGCATGAGGTTATTACTGATCAGTCAAATGCTAACATCTAGTGGAGGTTTGGGGCTACTACAACTTGTTTACTATGTGATTTTATATGCTCAGTCTGTCCTCCCTTTCTGCTATATAGTTCAGTTACAGCTAGACCCTCCCCATTGCTCCCATGTTCCCTCAGTTGGTTTAGTTATTCAGAGAGACGGCTTAGGAAAGTCATTGTCTTCTTACACTTTAAAGGACATCCTCTGTACTGCAATTAGCTGAATTAGCTGTGATGGATTCAACTTCTGTATCTTATTGAAGGGTTAAGATGCCTATGGATGGTGCCAGTCAGCAGGTGACCATAGGGTCCAGACAGACTGGGTCTAAGGAGGTATATCAATGCATAAAGTGGTATTTGAAACAGAACAAGAGATTTCAAAAACCATATTTGAAAAAATCTTAAATCTTGAAATATGGCATTTTAAGTTTGCTAGAAAGTGTATACTGTATTTATTATAATTCTTGAAATGGCATAGATTGATGTCCTGGTTACAGAGAAAAGATACACAGAAACTGTAAGGGATTTCCGGCAAGAAGAATCACGATCGGGAACGCGCATACGCAAAAGAGATCCCGCAGAAGAATTGACGGTTGTGCGCAGGCGCACAGGAATGCGTGATCACGCACATACACGCACACGTTCACACGCACGGCAAAGATTGGCGCCAGACGGGCTATTTAAGGTGCGCCCAGATTCAGTGCTGACTGGTCTTCAGCTCCCCCCCCTGTCCTGCTTGTTCCTATGCGATTCCTTTGGTTCTGACCCAGCTTGTTCCTGATCTGACTCTGAGTACTCTCCTGCCCCCCCCGGTTCCTGACTTCGGCTCTGATCCTGACTTTGGCTTTTTCCTTCTGATCCTGTACCGCGCTGCCCGACTGTTATGACCCTGGCTATCTTACGACTCCGCTCCAGTCCTGTGTCCTGGCTACCTACCTGGCTCTGCTGTGCATCTGGCAATCCACTGTACCTGCCTGGTCTATTTCTACAGTACCCAAATCAGAGGATATCCTGCCTACCAAGGTCATCATCCGCAAGAGCTGCAAGCAAACCTCTGGCAATCTTGTCCCCCTGGTCCCTATACTCCCTTTGTTCCAACCTCAGCGGGGTCAGGGATAGTGACACAAGTGAGGCTGACCTCGTCAATTCAGTCTCCTATCAGGTACGTGACAAAAAACTTACAAAGAGGTCAGCTGAAGATAAAAATACAACACAAATACTGAACAACAATAACAAAAATATATACTCTGCCATTGATCATGGTCTCTGAAAAAAGGACTGTATGAGGAATATGACAAGGAGCACAGCCCTGAATACTTATAGTGGTGCAAACTACATGACAGCTGTCATATCATAATCACTTTTCTATTACTGTGTAAAGTTGTATAACACAACTTAAAATGCAAAGACTTATACTGAAAATAATGTAGAGAACTATGTACATTTAAATGCATTTCTGAATCTAGTTCATAGCTTTGCCTTGCATTTGTAATATGCTACTAAGTGCATTAAATCCACACCCACACAAGTGTTGAATATAGTAAGGAAGGGTTATAAACCTTGTCAGATTATTTTCTTTCTGTGTCCCATAGTGGAGATTTCCCTTCACTTCCTATCCTATAGCCAAACAGGAAGTGAGAGGAAATCCCTGCTAATTAAGGGAATTTCTTTGGCCCCCAAGGTCACCAGCAGTAGTGTCTCTATTGGAAGATTCCCCTCTATTACTTTTCTGAGGACAGCCCAAGTGATAATGGTTAACAGGACAAATAGGCAGGGTACATCTCCCTTACAGGGGCACAGACAGCAATAGAATCGGACAGGGGTTCTAATTCCTCTCCAATCTATCCAAAACTAAAACACGTTTTGTCTCTAGTTATACTTTAAAGTGTACAATCCAAACGCACGTGTTCCTGCGTTAAAAATGGCTGTGTGTATAAGTGGGTGCTGCAGCGACCGTCGGCTGGAACCAAACAAAATCAGCAAGGGAAAATGTCACCAGCACACCGAGGATCACAAATATGGGTCCAAAAGTTTTAATGAACGATCACATAGTTACAGCAAGGCAACGTTTCGGAGTCTCGCAGGACCCCTTCATCAGGCATGTGGTGAAATGTTGCCTTGCTGTAACTATGTGATCGTTCATTAAAACTTTTGGACCCATATTGGTGATCCTCAGTGTGCTGGTGACATTTTTCCTTAGTTATACTTTAAGGCTCCATGCACAATATAGTGTTTTTTATGAGCTCAAAAAACACTAGAAAAAAAAAAGCTGAATGAAAAATGCTGATGATAACGTTTTAATCCGGCTTGTAGTAGCATTTCAGTAGCGTTTAGAAGAGTTAGCATTTTATTAGTGCTTTTAAAATACATATAGAAAAAAAAAAAAGCTTTTTGTTCAGGGGGCACTCATGCATGCTCACTCACAAGTCGACTCTGTGTGTCTGTAAGGCACACAGAGTGTGGCTCAGCCCTGTCCCACCCCCCACTCCCTTCTCACTGGCCAATGGCTCCCACTGCTGTGTCTGAGCCAATGAAGAGGTAGAGAGCCTAGAGAGTTTCTGCTCTCATACACATCGCTCCCCTCCCTCTTAGATTGTCCCCTCCCTCTTAGATTGTAAGCTCCAAGGAGCAGGGCCCTCCTAACCCTCTTGTATTGAACTGTATTGTTGCTGTATTGTCTCCCTTTATATTGTAAAGTGCTGAGCAAACTGTTGGTGCTATATTTATTATTTATTTATTTCAGGCACTTATATAGCACTGTCAATTTATGCAGCGCTTTACATATATGTTGTACATTCACATCAGTCCCTAACCCTCAAGGGGTGTACAATCTAAGGTCCCTAACTTACATTCATACACATACTAGGGCCAATTTAGACAGGATCCAATTAAACTACCAGCATGTCTTTGGAGTGTGGGAGGAAACCGGAGTACCCAGAGGAAACCAACGCAGGCACAGGGAGAACATGCAAACTCCAGGCAGGAGGTGCTGTGGCTGGGATTTGAACCAACGACCCTAGTACTGCCAGGCGGAAGTGCTAACCATTTAGCCACTGTGCTGCCACAACATATAAATCCTGTATAATAATAATAATAATAACATCGCTGGAACTAAATCAGGCTCAGGTAATTATAAGGACTGGGAGCTAGGGAGAGTTGCATGAGGAAGGTTTTTTTCCTTCATGCATAGACTGAATGGGGTATAAAAAAACCATCTACATTTACAACCACTTTAACTACATCCCTGCAGTGGATGCTCATAGAGATGTATGGGACCAAGGCATCAAATGATGATACATTTTATTAATTGTGATTGTAAAATGAATTTTATTCCTAAATCTTTGATGCTTTGTCATGTACAGTTCCTCAATCAGGGGCTTCTAGAGAGGAACTAATAAAAAGCAATGACAGTGTTAAAACAGGGCCTTTCAAGCATAAAAATTTGCTAAAGTGGCAAAATGTTTGATCAAAATGCCCATATCTAAAAACTAAACTAAATATAGGATATTACATTTTCTGCTGTGTGGAAAAAAATAAAAGGTAACAGAGGAATTCACACAGGCACTTGACTGAACATGGAAACAAAGTTGTGTCATCTGAAGAATTCTCACTGCAGTAAGCAGTATGTGAATATTTGAAGTGTAACTCTATACTTCTGAGTGATGTAGTAATGGAAGAAAGGCTGAACAAGATGTGGGCGGTGTCGGCATTCCACCTATTCCTCATCACTAATCTCCCACTCATCACCTCTCCACCTTCCACACAAGGGCTCATCCCTCTCATCATGTATTCATGCAGCTGTGAAGTAATGTGACCTCCGTGTACCGGGGTGGAAATTGGAAACAGCATTGGCCCCACAACTATCAAACACTAGATGGCAAAAGCAGCTTTTTTTCAGTGTCAGGACTCAAGAATAGAAAAGATTGCTGAAGATTATCTGTTGGGCCCAGATTATTTGCCTATAAACAATCAATATTTACCCATGAATGGCAGGTGGAGAGATATTGGCCCATCCTCACATGATTCCATTTAATGCTGGGATCGCAATATATAGCAATAATAAAATAATACAACAACGACAAAAAAGAGTGGGTAGGTTTTTCAACACAGTCCAACCATTGGCAAGCAGTAGACTAAATCAGTCAAATATATCTTTATTCAAAGGGTTTTGAGGTACATAGGTTAATTCACTTAGCAATGTGAAAACAGTTTTGTACAGGGGCGGACTGACCATTCGAGTGCTCAGGCACTGCCCGTGGGCCCGGGGTCAGTAGGGGGCCCCATGAAATGCCCCTGGTACCTTTTTATAGGCTTTTTTGGGTGTGCTTTGAGTGTGGGCAAGGACACAGGGGCCCCATGATCCCCTATTTCCAAGGGGCCCCATGAGTTGTCAGTCCGCCCCTGGTTTTGTACCACACATAAATCTGCAGTGCAATCAAGAACAATAGGAAGAATGCTATAACATAGCAATACTCTACATCAGGACCATCGCTTATTAACACCAGCCATACACAGTCTGATCTAGTAGGTAAGCTAGAGTTTTAACTAACCACTAGAGTGTCAGTGGCCATGTTTGAAAGGTATTCAATGCTCAGGACAAACAGTGGGTTATGACATTATACCGTTCCAGTATTTTAAAGGAGTTACTGCACCCCCAAAAACCAATATTTATGGGAATCAACTAAATCTGGTAGATTGAATAACCAGCTAGGTTTAAAGGTTACATTGTAGTTGGTCTCACTTTTGGAACTGCACAGGAATGTGGAACGGGTTCCTGTGTGATTCCCGCGCGTGAACCAGCAATAACGGACTGCCTAAACAAGGCATTTATTTATTACATCAATTTATGATTCTTCCATATCATAAGAATCTCACATACATACATATACCAGGACCAATTTAGACAGGAGCCCAGTCTACCAACCAGCATGACTTTGGAGTGTGGAAGGATATTCAGGCTGCATGTCCTGGTTGATATTTGAACTAAAGCCTCCAGTATTGCAAAGTAGAAGTGCCAACCACCATGTTGCTGTTACAATGGCTGCTTTAGAATATATATATACAGATGGAAAGGTTCTTTATAAAGCAGGACAGGCAAGACATCAACTTACTCTTTATGTCTGATTGAATTAGCATATTATTTCTTTTATAACCAATGGACATTTTATTCAAGATTCTGAAAGGATGTTTGGATTTCTTTGATAAATCAGAACTGATTTAGCTTCACTTTTATGCAGCCAAACTAAGATGGGGCTCAGTACAGCTGCAAACCCAAAATTCTATTCTTTCTTCAGTAAAGTAAATGAGACGTCTAGCTGAATTAGGAACACAGTATTGCTGAGATTAGAATGGAAGCAGAAGAATAGAATTGTGTGTAAAAATGAACAAGGTAAAATCATGACTGAACACAATCGGAATAATATTGTCATGCTGCCAAGATTCTTTCCACAAAGTACAAAATACAGCTACTAAGAACAGTAGTTTATAAAATAGCTTGTTTTTTACATTGCAAAGTCTTGCCCTCCTCTTTCCTTTTTTTGCTATTAATATTGTTTGTTATTTCCATTGAGCTTTACCTACACTCATCCGAGCTGTTAGCAGCAAACACGTACGACCAAACAGGCTAGATTACTGTACAAGCATTAACTTTCTGCAGTTTAGCCTGGAGCTATGCTGATGGAGTAATGTAAAACCTAACGGTAGAGATGAAACAGCTTGTAGATCAGGGGTGTCAAAGTCCATTACATCATGGGCTGCATCAGCGTTATGGTTGCCCTCATAGGGCTGGTTGTATCTGTAAGACTGTATAAATGTATCCACTCTTCATCATATTAAATATGAAAAGGAGGATCACACACCGCTGGGATCATCCACAAGAAACTTTTTTGGAGACTCTTCAGATAGGACAAGGTTCTGCCATGGTGTTCTCTCTGAGCAGTACCCAATAACATTTCTCGGATAATACCAGTGGTGTGTGACCCTCCCTTTAAACTGGCAAAGAATTAAATCATTCTCATAATAATTATAAGCATATGTCCATAGCACCCCAACCCCCCTTACATCAGATTTCAAGAGTCCCCCACCTCCAATTACATCACAGTGCACCCCCTTACTTTATGCTGCTGGGAAGAAGCTGGGGGCGGAGCTGGGAAGCAGAAAGTGCAGGGTCTGGAGGAGGACCAGAGGAGGGTTGGAACCAGCTGCTAGAGTCTGCTGAATGCTGAGATCAGGGGAGGCAGAGATAAAGGGGTGCTGCACCTATACAGAGAGCTGCAGGATCTCTCAGAAAAGATCTGCCCTGCTCTCTACTGCTGATTGCTGAGAGAGGGGGTGGGGTTAAAGACAAGCCTCTCTGTGGCTGCATGGAGAAGCGAAGGATCTGGTGGAGGAGTTCTGCTGAGACAAGGTGGTGGCCGAGATGAGAGGGTTGCCGCAGCTTCAGGAGAGGTGCGAAGGCCATATGAAATGGCTTGGCAGGCCACGGGATTCAGCCCACGGGCCTTGTGCTTGTGTTGTAGATGAAGATAAACAGATGCTTTTAACTGCTCTATGTTTTTTTTTCAACATTACTAAATGTTTTGTTTTTTACATGGCAATACACTATGCCATTTCACTATGCAATTTCATCCATTTCCAAAATTCAATGAATGGGTGGCCCTGTCACCACACTTCTACCCTCCATCTTTCGGTTGAAAATTCAAAGAAGCCAGGCGGAAAATTGCCAACATAACAGCAGCTGCATCCAATCAAATGCAGCCATTTTGGGTATTCTGACAGCTGCTGGTGCCAGCTGTCAGAATAAAATAACTGCAGTGGCAGATTTTCCATCCATGCTGCAGGAATCAGTTTGTTTGTTTGTTTTTTGTTCAGCCCACAAGCTTTAATTTACACAAAAACAAAGCTACCACTATATGAACAAACCGAACTGAACTAAAACTAAAGCACCCTGGCTTACAAAGCATACCAACTCAGAACTGTGCTGGTGACTGAAGCACAAGCAATATTTATGCACTGCCAATTCTGTACTGTTTGCAGCTTTTCCAGTGTTTGACAGCCAAAAACAGATTATGAATAGGTGGAAATAAATATGAATCGATTTGTTGAACAGGAAATTTCAGCTGAAACTTTTTTTTGTTTTAGATAGAGTGGGGAAGGATTGCAATTGTTTGTGTGCCTGAAAAGGAATATTTTCTTTTCTTCCTGTTCTGTCTGACAATGGGGCAAAAAAATGAGATGGGAAATCTCCCTAGCAGGGCCATAGACTGCAATAAAACCTGACAGTATTTCTGACACATCCCCATGCTTCAAAAAGGCATGTGCGGACTACTGTACATTACAACTTCAGGCTGCAGTACATTGCAGAACACCATTATGGCTCCCATCGAAGCACCCAGCTAGAAAAACTACACCCTTCCTCCCCAGCTGTGAATAAATTGTAATTCTTGGATTTAGTTTGGCTTTCAGATTTAGCCTGCTGCCCTGCATTTGTACAACTAGCAGCAACTACTTGCTCACCATACCTTCTATTGCTTTCTGTTCCCCTCACCCATCCTGTCATTGCCCATGCTTTTAAAGACGGGCAGTGCCAGTCCTGCCAGGGAAGGAAGACCCACTTAGACAATGAAACTGTTGATGTTCTGATTCTATTATGGTATAGAGGTTGTCTACAACCATCACTGCTTTGTACACTCTTACAACTTAAACCAATCACTTAGCTGTGGCAGAGGTATTATTATACATTATTATACAGTATTTATAAAGCGCCAATAGTTCACTCAGCGCTGTAGGTATACAGTACCTTTGCCAGGTTAAGGGTTAGTGGCATTATTTACAAGGTGCTAGAGCCTAATAACAAATATTAGGTGCCACCCCTAAATATTCTCAAGTCCTAGGTCATGGCCCATTGAGATTGGTGTAATTTTAGTGTCCTCCAGCATGTGTCTCCCAGCAGCCAAAAATTACACTGCAATTAGTTGCTTGGCTGCTAGGAGGCTATTTAACCCCACCTGTGGAACCAGCAAGTGTCTCTGCTTTGTGCTTGTTCTAGTTTTTGCCTGATCAGTATCTCCTGTATCTACCCTCACCTGCTATTCCTTCTGCTATCTCACCCCCTTGACTGACTTCACTTTCCTCCATTTGTACATGTGTTACACCTTTGGTTTTCAGTTAACATTATGTATTGTATGTTGTTTGTTCACTAATACATTCTGTCGTCTTCACTGGGCCTAGGTTCTCACTAGTGCTGCATTTTTCAGTATCATTTTTGTAGCATAGTTTTTGTTGCATATGTATGCTTTTTTTTTCGGTTTCCATGCTGGTTTCCTTACACTAGGATACTTCTTGTTTTGGGTCTGAAGGACTATCACTATACAATAGAGCCCAGACAATTCATTCTCAGCTACGGTTCCTCCAGAGATTGCTAGGGGTTCCATGAGCTGTGACTGGTTGATCTCCTATCTGATGGTGCCTGGATAATTTTGGGTCCAACACTACTTGACAGAGCCGGCAGCATGATACCAATGATCTTTTTTTTAGCTATCTGTAATGGTTGCATTCTTTGTACTGACTGCTAATGTAAAAGGCATTTTTGCCACTAACCCCCAATTAATTGGTTTTAGTAAAAGTTCCCCTGAAACCTGAAAATTATTTTAGGGGTTCCTCTGCGGCAAACAGATTGAGAAAGGCTGGCCTAAACACATAAAAGTTACATTCCAGCTTTAGACTTACTTTAAGAGGGTTTATAGCCAAGGCAATGTTTTGGGTTCTAGTTAATGTTATGAAGAATCCTTGCTATAACCCCTGATTAAAAAAAAATAAAATCATGTTAATATTCAATACAGAAATACTGTTCCAGTTATACTGTTCAAATCCAAGAAGCTTCTTCTGTTGTATTATGTTTATCCAGTGTCCTTGAGGGACTCCTGATGAGACTGTTAATGCTGGGATGAGGAGATTTGAAGACCTTCCTGTCAAAGTCAATACAAAGAAAATATTTTAGTGAGAAAACCATTAACATGTAAATGAATACAGTTAGCTTTTTATCAAAAACAGGTACTAAATGAAGAATCAATTTGCAGTCTTCATTTATTACTTCATTATCTTTATCTTTTTGACATTGTATATCCTTTCACAATGTCTGAATATAGTTTCCTTGCACCGCATATGTCCAGGGGCCTCATGTAGAGTTAATAGAAGTGAGCACAGATTGATAGCCGATAATGCTACACTCAGCTTTCATTATGCTAACCAGAAATAATCAGCTTTGCTTAGCATTAGTGTGAATTGGGCAATTAGCACAAATGCGGTAGTTTTTGAAGAATTCTCTTGTTAGGTGTCATGACTTTGGGATTGGTGTTTTAGTACTTTCATAAAAAGTGCATAGCTCCGCATGCAACAATATCTTTTCATAAACTTTGAATATGTGAAACATTAAGATGGTAAAGATGGATATAAAGA